TAAAATTTGTTGTGAGAACATGTAAGAACCGAGTTGATATTGTCTTAGTCAATAATTGGAAAGAATCACATGAGGTTGTATGAATGAGAATGTAATTCATATGATTGAGTGCAAATAAATAGAAAATTGAATTTTGAATTGTGTAGAGTTAAAGGACTTTAATGTGACAAATTAAAGCCCCCAACTTGATTTATTGTTTTAGGTTCTGATACAAGATGTTAGCTCTCAGGTGAAGGGAATTGAGGGAACTCTAGAGTGAGAGCTGGTATCTTCCCTGCCTAACTTGTCTTTAGAACTATTCAAATTTTAAATTAGTCAATGTTCTTTATAACATCGCTAGTAAGGGTAGAGAATATTATTGCTCATATTTGACACAACGCAATTTGCATACTTTCACAACAGAAATCCTGTACTTATTACTAATTCATGATAAGAAGAAAAATATTTTCATATCAAGTGTTTTTCTTTTACATAAACTCAAGTTATCTTTAGAAGTTTTATTGTTTTGTCAAAATATCAAAAATACAAAAAAGAATTGAATTTTACTTATTAAGAAAATATCTATAATTTAAGTAATTGTCTTTTTAAAAATAAAAAGTTTGTGCATATTGCGTATTTTCCTTGTGGTTTCGATATTCAGATCTTAATAAAAGAGTTCTATATTACTTGATAACGATACATATACTTGCGTAGTATCGCAATATATATATATATAAATTAAAAAGTTAAATTCTTATTTTCTCGAGGATCAAATTTTTGGTTCTGTTGCAAAGTAAGATTACATAAGTAAAAAAAAATCATTAAAGTTGTTGTTATACTGTTGCATATAGACAGTCGGGATGAAGTTTTTGGCACCGTTGCCGGGGATTAAAATCTTCAAGTAATGGTGTTAACTTCATAAATCCTTACATATAAGAAACTTTCGGGATCAACAGCCAAGCTGATCGCATACCTGGAGGTCCACTCAACTTAGAGTGTGGCCTCGTGCAACTCTCCTCTTATATCATTGCGGTGATGACCTCATCCAGTGATGGAATCGTTGTCTGGGCTAGGAAAACTGATCTCCTCTAATCAAAGGCCAAGTTTAGATGAGCCATAAACTGTATGATCCTCATTTGTGCAAAAATTTCTCCCTTCTTGCACCCTGGATCACCACAACTCGACATAGGTGAAAAGTTATCAAGATTTTGCCACAGTCGCTCCAGTTCTATCAAGTTCTTCTGAATCGATCTTTCACCTTGAACCACTGCCCTTATCTCACACTAAATCTGGAACACCCTCATGTGGTTCGCAGCTCTAACATAGATCTTCTTCAACTTCAACCAAATGTTGATCCCTTTTCGAGCGCCATCCACTGATGAGGCAATCGATGAAATCATCGAGTTGAGTAGCTAGGTGTAAAACAAGATATCTGTGGTCATGCACTCTTCCTTCCTAGCACTGTTAATCTTTGGCTCAACCCCCGTCATGTATTGTTCTAGTTTCTTCCCTGCTAGAACAGTCTCAATCCGATGCAACCAATTCAGATACGTGGCCTATCCATCGAGCTTCACATCCACAAGAGGGAAATTTAACTTCACCTGCGTTGAGGATGTGGTGAGGTAGCGGCTCTTGTTGAGTCGTTGGTTCCCTGTATGAGTCTGACCAAGATCTTTAGAACTTCAGGATCTATCTTCCTCAGAAGTTCTAATCCCTTACCTCTTGCATCATCTTCGTCTCCTGACATTTTCATACACAAGGATCAAGTTTAGATCACAAAAGTTTGCGCGATCTGCTTTGCCTTAGTCAGCACGAAGACACACTCTCTCTATCCCGGACGCAGTACTGCAATCGTTTCAATCCTTCACCTCCCTGCTGTCAAGTGGAACTCCAGAAATGAAGCCCTACTCCGCTTTTTCCTTTTGTGGCAAACCGCAGAAGCATTCTCCTGCCCTCGCTGTACTGTCGGGAAAGCTCCGGGATCGCAGCGTATAGAGAACTTTCGTGACCGAACTTGCGAGACGCGATACGCGATACGCAGCTTAAAACCTTACGATAAATGACATGCTCATGATGTCGCCGAGACATTCGCGATCAGAACTTTTGGGAAGGCTACAACGTGGCTCCCAATCCAAGCTTCCGGCGACGAAACCCTGCGAAAGATGACGTGCTCACAATCCCACCGAGACAGCCGCTATCAGAACTTCTAGGAAAGCGATGGCATTGCTCGTGATCAAAGCATCTGGCGACATACTAGTTTGAGGATGCTTACATCCCTTTTTATGAGTATAATATTTATGATAAGATTTCTTTCGCCAATATGTAATCATGTCATCATGTCTATCTAAAGATAAATAGCCATTAGGATATGGCTTGCAAGGCATTTAAGTGTATGATATTTTGAGATTTCCACTAGATGGGTTTTGTAGAGGATTAGTGGAAGAGGCAGCACCAAAGATGATCTATCAAGAATTCACCGAATATTATTGTCGTTAGGTGGTCGTGTTAGGAATAATTTATAGGAGGTACAAACATCAATAAAATACGGCACAAAATTTTGTTTTTAATTGCAAATAAAATCCATCTTTTCCTAGTTGTTAATCTTAAACAAGCAGTATAATCATGATGACCATAGAGTGCAAAAACCAAGAAAATAGGGAGAGGACCCATTAACCATTTGAAGAGGGGTATACTCTCTTCAAATGAAAGAGGAAAGAAGATCGATGGCGATAGTTCCTCTTACAAAATCATGTCTTGGGTAAGTTCTGTGATCATTGTTAGTTAAATGTTCACAAAAAAAAAAAGGAAAATGTTGTAACTTTAGCGTGTTAGCGTGAGTTTTTCCTTAAAAATGAAAGAAAATGGGAAAATAGAACCAATTTCTGCTGTGGTGGATAACATTGTGCTGAGTCCGTTGAACAAGGTAGGCTAGTCTGTACCTATTTTAAAAACATCAAATGATATAGCAGCGAAAGCGCTTCCAAGATGCATTTAGGCTTGGGGTTATTTATCATAAGAATCTATGTCAAGTAAGAGATTCCACTCTTTTTTACATCAAGAACCCGAAGATCTATTATGGTTGGACATCATACATCATTCAATTCTTACCATTTAGGTTTGATTAAAAAAATCGTAAATGAAGATTGATAAATAGTACCGCCTTAAGCTTTCAATCACCAATGACTACATTAATGAGATGATATGTTAGGTGGTTCCATACCTCCATTTGACATTTGCTAAATCATCTTTGACATCTTAAATGTTCAACATAATTATGTGGTATTACATCAATGACTTATCAGTGTCTGCTCATAGAAGAAGGAAAGGCCATAGCATGTACTTAGTAACAGTGATACAAGCAGGCAAACTGTTATGCCTTTTAGGGGACCGGTCCCTCCTGGACCGATCGAGATCTCCCCAACCGGCCTGCCACAAGAGCAGGCAGACCGCTCTGTAATGTGTGAGGGAAAGGATCAACACTTTGCCGAGGCCGAAGAAGGTAGGGAGATGGTGGGGTTCACGAGGGCCTTAATCACATTCTCAAGGAGTAGAAAATAAAGGAGTTGGGAGGGAAAGTTTGAAATGTTGTGGGAGGGTTCTATTTTTTATGCATGTTTTTGGGCAGCTGTGTTTTTCTTCTTCGTGTGGTGTTCCTAGCAACGTCTAGGATTATGGGAGAGCCGATCTACCACTCAAATGGTAGATCACCCTTGTATCTTGCTTGTTTTCTTTTGTTTTTAGTAAGGGTAGCCCTCGTTTGATTTTTCCACCTATCTATTTCTGTTTCGCCGTCGTTTGCTCACTGATTTTGGTCCCGAGGCATATCACATATTTTATGCCTGTTGATGTGGTTCATCCTGTTGAAGTAGAAAGGGGAAGCCATGCTCTCTCTACCTTTGGCAGAGAAGGTGACATGTGGATGCATAAGCAGATTAAGTAGTAATATATACATCTCATATCCTACCATGATTTACTCTACCAAAGTGAAGGTGATCAAGGATTTATTGATCATATGTATAACCACATAATGTGTATCTTCAGCCACCCATGAAGGAATTTGAAGAAACGCTGCTGCATGTGAAAAGGGACAAGAGCTACTGCATGTGAAAATATCTCTATTTATGAATAAGGAATTTGAAGAAACGCTCTTTCCAATTCATGCAATAAAAGGATAAAAAGAAACCAAAACCTCATCTATTTTGGTATGCTTGTAAAATGTATATTGCTATATGATTTTGGCAGTTCTTATTTTTATTGTAATTGCCTATTTAATGGTTCGAATTCTACAAGAAAGACAATATAAAAAGTTCTCCCAATACGTCCTTTTCCTAAATTTCCTCCAACCCAACCTTCATCCAGCATTTTGTTTCTCAGGTAGTATAGTGGCAGTTGCAGGTGCTTGGTACTGCAGCAGGCAAGGCAGCATACTGTAGCAAATGGTGTCGGGTACAATAGCAAACACCTTTAGGAGTGTATCTTTTGCCGCTGATCTCACCTAGCGCTAACCGAATCTGCAAGAAAAAATATTCAGATTTGATGATTTGCTATTTACAGCAATTGGTAAGTTGATGGGTTGTTCTGTGAAAAAGACTTCTGATTTAGGCAGTCTTTTTGCTGTCCAGCAGAAAATAGGAGGCTCGGGATGTGTTTTTTTATATTTTGAAATGGAAATCATCACAAGAATTGTCTTTAAGCAAAGCGAAGGTTCAGTATGGGAAGCAAACTTATTTTCTAAATCAACTAGTAGGAGGAAACAATCAGTCGTCTACAATCCTAATGACATTGTTCTTTGTGTATGAATTTAGCAACCATGTTTTTATCCTCATTGTGTTTCTTGTTTTTTTGCGGATTTATCATTGGAATGAAAACTTAGCTGTATTTCTTGATACTTTTTTTTACTCATTGGCACCAATATCTGGCCACCGTTTACATCAAGCATTTAAAGTTTCCAACTGCTCTCTGTTTGTGTTGATAGTCACTCTCTTCTTGAATAACATATAAGCTTTGCTGCTGTTATGCAGTACTGGGTTAGTCAGGGAAATAAATGGTGTGATTTCTGCAAAATTTATATTTCGAACAATCCAGTGAGCATCAGAACCCATGAAATAGGTCTGCGTCACAAGGAAAATGTTGCTCAAAGGTTGTCTACTATGCGGAAAGAAAGTGCTGCAAAAGAAAAAAAGCAAAAGGAAGCAGCCAAAGCGCTTGAGCAAATAGAAGAGGTGCAATTTTAGTTTCTATGCTTTTTGATTGACCAGTTTATTCAACTTATTGTGTCAGAAATTTTTTTTTTACATACATTATTGTCAACATAAGTTCTCCAAGAAATAGTTGGTTGAGCCATGCTGGTGATGGCTCATCTGTAGGAACTCTCAAACTATCGGACGACAGCCATATTAATTTTAATAAGATTAAATGTTTAAATATTAACCTTTATCATGCAGAAAGCTAAGCGCTGCTATCAGAAGGACATGGCGTCTTTCCAGCAAGCTCATAAATCATCTAGTAATTCATCAGCTCTGCATCTTAGTGCTCCAGATAAATCCATTTTTTCGGCAACATCTGGAGGTAAAGTGGAAGGTTTTTTTCTTAATTTCTTTTTAATCTTTTGTAGCTTGCTTTAGATTCTTAACCGCCACATAAAACTGCTACTGTTATGATTATTTTGCTTCTTGTCTCAAACTGCTGAATGAACCAACTGTGGTTTATAGTTACCATTCTTAATCTTTTGTTGGTACATCAATTTTTATAAAGGGTCATTTACATACATACCACTATGTATTTACATATATAACACTTAAACATTCATATTTACATGCATACCACTCAAACTTTGGTTGTTAGATATGTAAATACATATGAATTGTGTAGTATGCATGCAAATTTCCCTTTTATAAATGTAATGTGATAAGCTTTTAGCAATGTATATATTTGCTGGTTTCAGAGTGGGAGCATGATGCTGCTTCAGGATATTATTACAACTTGGCCAGTGGATATCATTATGATCCAAACTCTTGTTTATACTATTCCAGCAGTTTAGGTATGTCACGAGCTTTACTCAGTTCTATATATGTATGGATATTTGTGTAGACTGCTATTATTTTAGAAGGATGTTGACTTTTACTTCTACACCAATTACCATCTTTTCACAAATCTGAATGATTAAGATTTTAAATTGGCTAAAAGAAAACTTCTAAAAATTTATTTCTGGATGCATGCTTTGATGGTATTTTTTCTTGTCATAATTGGACTCTTTTATTCCCATTCAAAGTTTGAACTTATTTTCTACAAGGTTGTATCGTCCTTAAACATAATATTATCCTATTCATATCATCTACAATATGAAAACTACTCATTAATTGAAGTTTCCATTGAGGATGCACTAAAAATAAGATAGATCATATTGTTTTGTGAATTTAATATTGAAAGTTTATTTGTTCTAATTTCTATCTAAACTAATGTAATATACTCTAAATAGGGATTTTTTTTTTAATTCTAGGTTGTATGTTAGTTCTATACTATGAAACTCACAATCCTATTTACATACAACGAAAAGACAGTTGATAATTTTTCTTGAAGCCCGAATTTCATTTGATAATCATTCAAATTTTATCAATGAAATTCAAAATCAATTTGTATTCACTCAAAATTGGCTATTCCCAAATTTGTGTCTACATATATTGATACCATTTTAGGGCTCGTAGAAGATGTCTGAGAAGCAGATTTAGAGTAGAGGTGGCTAGGGAATAGCAAATGAATGATAATATGCGAGGTTGACAGTGTTTGGATATGGATAAGCATCGTTTGGTGGCTATCCCGGCTGAGAACAACAATGTGCACTCCTGTCGACACAAAAAAGAGTTATGTTTGGGGGTCGTCCGTAAGAAGCTATCGGCAGCCGGAATTGAAATCCCATCGCCCGCTTCAGAAGGACGTTTCAATTTACGTGTGTATATATATATATATATATATATATATATGAGTGAG